CTCACAAAGATACGGCGGTTAGAACCAAAAATCTCCAATTTGGACTCCAGACCAAAGGACATATTTCCACCGGTCTAATGTCCACTGCTTGTGTTTCTTGGCCCAATTCAGTCTCTTCTTCTTACTGGTGTCCTTTAGTAGTGGTTTCTTTGCAGCAATTCGACCATGAAGGCCTGATTCACGCAGTCTGCTCTGAACAGTTGATGTTGAGATGTGTCTGGTACTTGAACTCTTTGAAGTGTTTATTTGGGCTACCACAGTCTCTTTCCGTAATGTGTTGCGGCTGGCAGTTAAGGAGAATGAGAGGCTCAATTAAAGATGTTGCAGAACTGCTGTATTTGAAGTACAACTCCCTTCTGCCCAGTTTACCTGATGTTGCTACGGCAATTAAGCTCTTTTTACCATCCCTGTAACTGTCGCTTCTGCGGAGAGAGCATTTTCTCAACTAAAACTCATAAAGAACTACCTAAGGAGCATTAGGCTCTCGGTCTGATATGCGCTTTTGAACACCTGAGTAAGCTCCAGTCATTGCACTGGCACCGTCGTAGCCTTGACCACAGCATTTGTTCACTGATATCACCTTATACTTTCAATCAGTTTATTTTTTATTTGTATCTTTTTCAGTCACATTCCTGAAGCCCTAGAAACAAACTCTTAGCCTCCTAGTACATATGGGAATTAAAAATACTTTTTGGAGGGTTACGTTCAAAATGATTTATTAAATGTTTTTAAAAAATTGACATCGATGACAGCGCATGAGCCCCCAGAGCTTGCGGGGCTGCTGGGGTGTCCGGAACGCCAGTGCTCTCTTATCGCGGACCTGATGTTTTTGACTCTCTCTCTCTCTCTCTCTCTCTCTCTCTCTCGTCTCTCTATCTCTCTCTCTCCTCTCTCCTCTCTCTCTCTCTCTCTCTCTCTCTCTCTCTCTCTCTCTCTCTCTCTCTCTCTCTCTCTCTCTCTCTCTCTCTCTCTCTCTCAGAAGAGGACTGGCCACCCCTCAGAGCCTGGTTCCTCTCAAGGTTTCTTCCTAGGTTCCTGCCTTTCTAGGGAGTTTTTCCTAGCCACCATGCTTCTACATCTGCATTGCTTGCTCTTTTGGGTTTTAGGCCGGGTTTCTGTATAAGCACTTTGTGAAATCTGCTGATGTAAAAGGGGCTTTATAAATACATTTGATTATATGTCCTGGTGTTCAACACATGGCCAGTATTCATCCCCACCATGACGCTGACTCTGATCTTTTATTTATGCTGTTTCACTGAGTTTCTCAATGCTCTGTGTGCCTTGGCTCCCTTTCATATTCAAATAGGAGAGGAGGAGAGGAGGAGATGACGAGGGGGCTGGGTATCTCCCTCGATACTTCGCTCCATTCTCTCTTCAAACACTGTAACAAAACAAGAATGCACACCGAGCGGCCACGCGCATACATACACACACACACAAACACACACATGCACAGAGACTATTCCATACATATGTATTTACAAGCACACAATACCTAGCTAGCACATAACGTTCTGAGAACCATATGTTTCTTCGAGCTTGGTGAGGGCATGTTTGTCGTATGGATATTTTGCATACAACCTTCCCACAACTTTCTGGGAATGCTGCAGGATAGTTAGAACATTGTCAGCACACTTAAGGAACTTGACAACATTGGCATTTCATTACTTTAACATCACTTTTTGACCATGAAGGCCTGATTCACGCAGTCTCCTCTGAACAGTTGATGTTGAGATGTGTCTGTTACTTGAACTCTGGGAAGCATTTATTTGCGCTGCAATTTCTGAGGCTGGTAATTCTAATGAACTTATCCCCTGCAGCAGAGGTAACTCTGGGTCTTCAATTCCTGTGGCGGTCCTCATGAGAGCCAGTTTCATCATAGCGCTTGATGGTTTTTGCGACTGCACTTAAAGAAATGTTCAAAGATCTTGAAATGTTCCGTATTGACTGACCTTCATGTCTTAAAGTAATGATGGACTGTCATTTCTCTTTACTTATTTGAGCTGTTCTTGCCATAATATGGACTTGGTCTTTTACCAAATAGGGCTATCTTCTGTATACCCCCCTACCTTGTCACAACACAACTGATTGGCTCAAAAGTATTAAGAAGGAAAGAAATTCCACAAATTAACTTTTAAGAAGGCACACCTGTTAATTGAAATGCATTCCAGGTGACTACCTCATGAAGCTGGTTGAGAGAATGCCAAGAGTGTGCAAAGCTGTCATCAAAGCAAAGGGTGGCTATTTGAAGAATCTCAAATAGAAAATATATTTTGATTTGTTTAACACTTTTTTAGTTACTACATGATTCCATATGTGTTATTTCATAGTTTTGATGTCGTCACTATTATTCTACAAAAATAATGAAAAACCCTTGAATGAGTAGGTGTTCTAAAACGTTTTACCGGTAGTGTAGGTCTCCATAGCCTTGGTATCCAGACCCGACAGCGATTACAGTCGTTCCCGGGGCGGAGTGGTGCCTGGGAGAAGGTTGATTCCGCAATCGTAGGGTCGGTGCGGTGGAAGCGAAGTGGCCCGGGCCTTACTGAACACCTCCCAGACGTCCTGGTACTCCGCGGGAATGGCTGAGAGGTCCGAGGCAACTTCTGAGCCCCCAGGAAGACGTCCCGGGGCAGGCTTGGCTGACTTCAGGCAATGAGCGTGGCAGTACGGGCTCCAGCCCATGATGGCACCAGTAGACCATTCAATAAAGGGGTTGTGTTGCTGGAGCCAAGATAAACCCAATACCACGGGAACCCGAGGAGACTTAATTAGCAGGCATTAGATCGTCTCGCTGTGGTTCCCTGATACTCGTAGGTTGATGGGAGTGGTATTGTGGGTGACCCAGCCTATAGAGCGCCCGTCCAGCACTCTAAGGTCCATGGGAATGGAGAGAGGCTGAGTGGGGACGCCCAGCTCAGACGCCAGGGTAGTGTCCATAAAGCTCTCTTCGGCCCCAGAGTCGATGAGTACCCAGAGAGATTGCGACTGGTACAGGCACTTCTGGGTTACAGGCACACTCAGCTGCCAATGTGCAGAAATCCACTGCATAGTCTGCCACACTGTGGGATTCTTGCCGAAGCTGGAGTAACTTCCGGGCAGCCTCACTCCCGGACAATGGAGCATAGAAAACCTTATTTACCTCCTGCATGAACTCCTCCAGACTGAAGCATAAGGTTGACTGTTGTTACCACACTGCCGAAGCCCAGGCGAGAGCCCTCCCAGACATCAGTGTGATGAGGTACGCTATCTTAGAGCGGTCCGAGGGGAAGGAGGAGGACTGCAGCTCGATGATGAGCGAAGAGTGAGAGAGAAATGCCCGACAGGTTCCCGACTCTCCAGCGAAGCGTCCCGGGGGAGGTAAGCGGGGTTCTCGGGAAACAGGGGTGGCCGGGGAGGCCGTGCTGATGACAGCCGGGTTACTGAGGGGCTGGGAGGTTACCGTCATGGTAGGCTGCCTAACAGACAACCCGCGGAATTGCTCCAGCAATGTGTTAAATGCTCTGTCATGGCGTTCAGCCAAGGTCTAGAACCCTTCCATGAGACCACGAAACAACTCCTCGTGCCATCCAATGGTGGCTCCTTGGGAGGAGATGACGTTGCGGAGCTGGTCGGAGTCTGTTGGGTCAGTCATGGCCAGTTCGTACTATCACGTTTCAGGAGAAGACCCAGATGCAGACAGTGTCGAAGTCACAAAAGTTTATCACAAAAACAGGGGGCAGACAAACGACAGGTAAAGGGCAGGCAGAGGTCAGTAATCCAGATCAGAGTCCAAAAGGTACAGAACTGCAGGCAGGCTCAGGGTCAGGGCAGGCAGAATGGTCAAAATCAGGAAAACTGGAAAACAGGAACATGAAAAAGACAGGAGCAAGGGGAAAACCGCTGGTAGGCTTGACGAAACAAATCAAACTGGCAACAGACAAACAGAGAACACAGGTATAAATACACTGGGGATAATGGGGAAGATGGGCAACACCTGGAGGGGGGTGGAGACAATCACAAAGACAGGTGAAACAGATCAGGGTGTGATAATTATAGGTTTGAAACTCACTGATGGCTCATCTCAATAAAAAATAAATGTGTTTGCATGATTAATGCAAAAGGAAATGGATTTCCATGTGTCCTATCTGTCCTTGGAGTTTAAAAAAGTTAACCCAAAATAAGCTAGCGGTGTTATTAAAAGTCTTATTGAAACATTCAGTGAACGTTTTAAGGAAGCTATTAAAAAACCTAAAAATAACCTATAATTTCCGTTCTCAGAGCATTAATAAAACCTCCCAGGAAACTTTCAAGGAACCAGAGTTAAACGTTCTCAGAACCTCCCTGAAACCTAAAAATAAACAGAACAGGCGAAATTCTAAACGTTTTAAAAAAACGTTCAGTTTTGCCGGTCAGGAAATGTATGGCTTCGTTACCACAACCAATGTGAAACCAAAAACACACGTTCCCACAACTTTGAATGGAACCAAATGTACTACTGAATACATAGTAGGTTTTCTTCCATTCAGTCAGGGGTGATGCTACCTCTATCCTTCTCTATTATTTTCTTAATCCTACGACCCATCCTCCTCTTCTCTTCAGTCACAGCATCCTGTATCTCCTGCCTCTTTTAATTTAACTTTGATTTGTCATATAATTTGATCAAATTGGATTTATAAATACGCACATTCCCTTGTTTAATCACTGTTTCTTCTAACTTGTAAAGAGACATTGTTGCTAGGTAATGCGTAGGTGGCAAGTTGAAGGATTTGACAACTTAAGTCTGCTTAGGAATGGCTTATTTTAAGCCTTGGGGGTTCTTTGCACAATTGTGTTTCTATTGTTAAATCATGTTCTCTTCCTCCCCCTCTCTGTCCAGCCCATGCATTCTCCTCTGTGTATTCACTAACCCTTCTGTACCAACAGCCCTCTCTGAAGTATATTAACCCCTCTTTTGTGTAATGTACTAACAGTCCTTTCTGTAGTGTCCTTCCCCCTCACTCTGTCTTCTGTTAACCCAGTTATATGACCCCCAGGCTGATGGGAAGGGGATGGACGGTGGCCTGCTGCCTGATGCCAATGGGATGGAGCCCAGCCCGGGAGAACGGAGGGAGGACAGAGGGAAATGGCAGAAGCCCCAGATCAGCCGTAAATCTCTGATGAAGTGCTGTCTCGTCAAATGGATCATCGACAGCACAACAAATGCACAGGGGCCAGGTAGGTCAGGGACAGAGCAGAACTAACTACCTAACTAACTACTGTAACTAACATGAGGCTCAGTCATCCCAGTCACTGTGTATGTGTCCTACCCTGTGTGGGATAGCTGGGGTGGAGTGAAGGCGAAGGCAGAGTAGAGGGGGAGAGGATGTAGGCTTTCAATCCCCCTGGCCTATACTACTGAATACATTCACTTTGATGCATCTACCCTATCTTATAGGACTATATTTAAAACTCTATCTTCTCTCTCTCTCTCTCGCTGTCTCTCAGTGGACGTCTGCCGTGCTAGCCTCTCCTCTCTTTGTGTCACTTCAGTATACCAGCCAATCAATCTATCAATACATCTCTATTAATTCTAGCTCCCTCCACAGTCCCAGTAAACTGATTGCTGTAGGCTGACTGCTGAGTTTGTTCCTGTAAGCTCTTCCAATCTCTCCTTTCATTATGTTTTTGTATGGTCTTTTATTTGTATTGATCTTTTCTTCTTTCCTTTTCCTTCAATTCTATACGAATGGTATTAGGAGGCATTTATACTGAACAAAAATATAAACGCAACATGTAAAGTATTGGTCCCATGTTTCATGAGCTGAAATAAAACATCCCAGAAATTTTTCATACGCACAAAAAACGTATTTCTTCCCCCAAAAATTGCCAAATTTGTTTACATCCCTGTTAGTGAGTATTTCTCCTTTGCCAAGATAATCCATCCACCTGACAGGTGTGGCATATCAAGAAGCTGATTAAACAGCATGATCATTACACAGGTGCACCTTGTGCTGGGGACAATAAAAGGCCACTCTAAAATGTGCAGTTTTGTCACACAACACAATGCCACAGATGTCTCAAGTTTTGAGGGAGCGTGCAATTGGCATGCTGACTGAAGGAATGTCCACCAAAGCTGTTAACAGATAATTTAATTTTCTCTACCATAACTTAGTTTTAGATAATTTGGCAGTACGTCCAACCGGCCTCACAACCGTAGACCACGTGTAACCACGCCAGCCCAGGACCTCCACATCCGGCTTCTTAACTTGCGGGGATCGTCTGAGACCAGCCACCATGAAACTGTAGGTTTGCACAATCAAATAATTTCTTACCAAACTGTTAGAAACCATCTCAGGGAAGCTCATCTGCGTGCTCGTCGTCCACACCAGGGTCTTGACCTGACTGCAGTTCGGCGTCGTAACCGACTTCAGTGGGCTAATGCTCACCACTGGCACGCTGTAGAAGTGTGCTCTTCACGGATGAATCCCGGTTTCAACTATACCGGGCAGATGGCGTTGTGTGGGTAGAGCTGTTTGCTGATGTCAACGTTGTGAAAATAGTGCCCCATGGTGGTGGTGGGGTTATGGTATGGGCAGGCATAAGCTACGGACAACGAACACAATTGCATTTTATCGATGGCAGTTTGAATGCACAGAGATACTGTGATGAGATCCTGAGGCCCATTTTCATGCCATTCATCCGCCACCATCACCTCATGTTTCAGCATGATAATGCATGGCCCCATGTCGCAAGGATCTGTACACAAGTCCTGGGAGCTGAAAATGTCCCAGTTCTTCCATGGCCTGCATACTCACCATACATGTCACCCATTGAGCTCTTGATCGACGTGTACAACAGCGTGTTCCAGTACGGGCCGACATCCAACAACATCGCAGAGGCATTGAAGAGGAGTTGGACAACATTCCACAGGCCACAATCAACAGCCTGATCAGCTCTATGCAAAGGAGATGTGTCGTGCTTCATGAGGACAAATGGTGGTCACACCAGATACTGACTGGTTTTCTGATCCACGCCCCTACCTGTTTTTAAAGGTATCTGTGACCTAATTAATTCATTTCAATTGACTGATTTTTTTTATACTTTTATATTTTGGTTCAGTGTAGAAAGCTTAAAGATATGATTGAAATAAAAGTGCCAGTGTTAACAGTAATATACAAGTCATCTCTCAATAGAGAGAGAAGAGCTGCCTCCAGACAGAGACTATGGCCTGTAATTAAGTCAAATTACTAATTACTTTCGATTCAAAGCCTTTGTGGATTATTTTGTTTTAGATAGTTTGCCATACCGTTAACAAGTACAACACATGCAAATAGAGAGACATCCAGGGCTATATAAAATATTGTTAAATAAGGGTGTTGAAGAAATAATATGTTTTTCGCTTTTCTGTCCAGCACCTGAAATAGTTGGATGTGCATATTTTTCCTTTTTCATGGGTTGAAGCATGAGCTGAATATGGAGGCAATAGTAGTGTCTGTTGCTGCTTATACCCCCTGTTTACGGCAAGCGGTACCGGAGTGCCAAGTCTAGGTCCAAAAGACTTCTCAACAGCTTCTACCCCCAAGCCATAAGACTCCTGAACAGCTAATCATGGCTACCCGGACTATTTGCACTGCCCCCCCACCCCATCATTTTTACGCTGCTGCTACTCTGTTAATTATTTATGCATAGTCACTTTAACTCTACCCACATGTACATATTACTTCAACTATCTCAACTAGCCGGTGCCCCCGCACATTGACTCTGCACCGGTACCCCCCTGTATATATAGCCTCCCTACTGTTATTTTATTTTACTTCTGCTCTTTTTTTCTCAACACTTTTTTTGTTGTTGTTTTAATTTTACTTTTTTTGTTAAAAATAAATGCACTGTTGGTTAAGGGCTGTAAGTAAGCATTTCACTGTAATGTCTGCACCTGTTGTATTCGGCGCATGTGACCAATAAAATTTGATTTGATTTGATTTGATTTGATTTACCCTCGTTTTCTCTACATATCTAAATGATTGACATTGCCCTTCTGTGCGTGCAGACTGGGGCTAACATGTACATGTGCACTCACCAGAGCGAAGAGACCCTTACCCATTCTCTACCCCCAAACCCTAATCCCGCCCCCAAATGAACGCCTTCGTCTTCCTTCTGCCCTGCCTCAACTCATCCTACTCCAGTAAGAACCCCAAATACAACCATGTCTAAGGATTTCCATCTGCTGGATAGTATCACTCATTACATGATACAGTAGAAGTACTCTCTATGTACACCAGATGGTGCTCTCACTCTCTCTGGTAGTCTCACAACTTCTCAGAATTGTTATAAACAGATGGAGAGAGAGAGAGAGAGGAGAGAGAGGGAGAGGAAGAGAGAGAAGTAGAGAGAGAGCGAGGAGAGGAGAGAGAGAGACGGAGAGGAGAGGAGAGAGGAGAGAGCTGTACTGTAATCGTTTGGGACTATGGCCCTTAATGCAGCTCTCATTACTGTTGTTAATGTTTGATCTGAAGAGTATGGAAATGCCGATATGCCATCCATGTCTGTCTTTAATGTTAGATAGATCAGCACTTTGTACTGCTGTCTTTGTTTCAAGGCCCTGGCTGTGAATAAGGAGTTTTCGCCCACGCCCCTCCGGAAACCTCTTTCTCAAAGCTAAGGCTCCAGATCACATTCTGCGCATGTGGTATTTTACGCACACTACGTAGCTGCTGCTCACAGTTTCTCTCTTTACTCACCTTCTTCTGAACCATGATGATGTAGCCTATGTCTCCTCATAAGTTAACCTCTACGGGATCGGTATTGTTGCTCAATATGCGATATGTGACTAGAATGGTGTTGTAAACAACAGCCAACTTTCCGGGATATAGACTTATATGGGCAGAAAGCTTAAATTCTTTGTTAATCTAACTGCAGTATCCAATTTACAGTAGCTATTACAGCTAAAAAATACCATGCTACATTCACCTCTGAAGGTAAATAATGTACTTACATCCAGTAATCTTGCTCTGATTTGTCATCCTGTAGTGTAGTTTTGTTTGAAAAATCAATTTTTATATTCAAATGGAGGAACTGGGTTCTACAGTTTGACCTCTGACTCTACACCCATCAAGCCCGGCCATCTAGATGTGTGAAGGTTAGTGTATTTTCTGTAGGGAAGCTAATGATCCATTATGACATTCCTGGGAGTGTGCAAACTTACATTTTGTATCACTATAGCATTTTTGTATGTTCTCTATAGTTATGTACTTCAAAACCAATTCGGCACATTTGGGAAAACTCCTGGCAGACTTGATACAAAATATTGTGCAGTGATGTAATTCTTCACTGGATCAGTCTGAAACTTTGCATACACACTGCTGCCATCTGGTGGACAACATCTAAATTACATCTAGAATCTTATATCACTGTCGCGCCTTTCTCTTGCATTTAAAAAATGATGCAACAAAAAAATCAGGTGCGCTCTTGCTGTCCTTGTCATGCGCGCTCCTTGTATCTTGATAGAATAAACGTCTTTATTCTCTTCACAGACCGCAAACTAATCATGCTTATCACATTTCCATTGCTTTACATAAGGTATTGACCTCCAGAATCATAGAGATATATATGTTTAACAACTACCCTGCCTATAAAAGCTTATGTGAGAAGCTGATCCATCAAGTCAATTGATTAAGACATAATTCTAATGTCATATATAATTTTCAAACATTCAGTCACTTGTTGATATTTTGCTAACATTATAAAAGCAATATGAACTAGAGGAGACAATGGCCTGTGCTTAAATGTTTATTTTATCCACCTCTTTAAGGAATACCTGGGATAGGATAAAGTAATCCTTCTACCCCCCCCCCAAATTTTTTTTAAATAAAAATAAAAATAATTGTAAAGTGGTTATCCCACTGGCTATAGGGTGAATGCACCAATTTGTAAGTCGCTCTGGATAAGAGCGTCTGCTAAATGATGTAAATGTAAATGTAAAATTTTTATTTTATTCCAGGTCATCAGTTTACATTGTGTTACTTTCGTATCACCCGTCTCTCCTGTAATTTCTCCCAGGCTAACACCCAAGCCTAGCTAGCATGATACTTGAAACCTATGCAGTCATTTAATAACTAGATGGGTTAAGAAAATGACATGTTTGGAACCTTAAACAACTAAACACAACTCTACAACCAAAAAACACTTCTGGGTCCATTTTTTAAAACTTATATTGCTCAAAACCACTTTTTTGTTGATAACTCGGCGAAACATGATCGGACTGGGCTGTTGTTTTGCAGGGAGGTCGTACTCCACATTAGGAATGCGCTGACCTCACTGCGACATTCTAGCTTCTGTGTTATCTGAGAAAATGGGCGTTACTTTTGCACTGTGTTACTTTCGTCCCGGCTCTCCCCTGCAACATGAATCAAATAAAATAAAATAAAATTTTATTGGTCACATGCGCCGAATACAACAGGTGCAGACATTACAGTGAAATGCTTACTTACAGCCCTTAACCAACAGTGCATTTATTTTTAACAAAAAAAGTAAAAATAAAACAACAACAAAAAAAGTGTTGAGAAAAAAAAGAGCAGAAGTAAAATAAAATAACAGTAGGGAGTTGTTGAAGTTTCCCCCTCCATGTCATTGAGGGGGAAGCGGCTGTGGGAGCACTGAGCAGAAGCTACGTAAAAGAAAAATCCTGCACTTGGCGCAGAAATCTCCATATGAATAGCCAAGCCTAGTCGGATTCCAGAAAAGTCTTCCAGTGAAGTGGTCAGTGCTGCTTAAGTGTTTTCCTGATAGTGTCCACAAAGTGCAGCACCTTTATGTGCAGCATCTCTGGGCACTTAGAAGAGAGAGTCAAGTGGCTAACTCCATCTAAATCTCTCTCTCTCTGTGTCTTTGGTAAAATGCATTTCTGGCCTGTTCCCATTCCAGTCCTAAAACCAGCATTTTGCATCTCAACGATTGATTTATCCTCCACCCTGCCCCCTCTCTCAGCTCCTGCTTAAACTCATTCCATTAAGATGTGGACACTCCTCAGTTATGAACTCTACCCCTCTTCGTCTCTTCTCTTTGTCTTGTTTACGCCCTCGCAGTCATGCACACCACCACAACTGATATCATGAAAGCGTTGGTGGATTGTAAATGAATGGAGAACATTGTTGCTAAAACTTGACAGAGAGTAATAGGATAGGAAAAAACATTAGGCCACTCTGTCTACCTCCCCTATTTAAAGTCCCTTATTAAACTCAACTGGAACATCAGTTTTTGATATCTGTTTGCTGAATTAGAAACACAATGTGGGGTTTCTTTGTGAATTCATCCAGTGTTATGTTTGATGTGAGTCTGCCTATATGTGCTATATGTTTCAATGGTAGGTAGGCAGCGCCACACAGGGCAGGGCAGACTCCTTCACTCTAAGTGCTGCTGGTCATATTCCAGCCATCAGCGGATGTGGATCAATGCCTGGTTTACAGCTTTACATCATCCTTGAAATGCCTCGTCAAACAAGGAAACACTCAGACCGTCAATAAGAAACTATTAGTAAAGAAACACACATCATCCCTCCGGTCTCACTGCCCTCCTCCCCCCTCTCCCACATCTTTCTTGCTCACTCAAACTGGAGACTGCACAAGCGAAGAATTCCTGTCTTGATGGACCTGTGGGACGGACTTACCCAAAAAGGGAGACACAGGGGTTGCAACTCTTAACTACAGAGGATACTTCACAAAGGATGGAGAGATTTGGGAGATTAAATAGTATACCATTGTTTTTTAAAACTCAAAACCATGCACTGGACCTGGATTTAGAGGGACTTTTGGAAGACAAAATATTATCAACAAACTCACCTTTTTGCTTTCACTGGAGATCAAGGGGTTAAATGAAGGGCAGCTGAAACAGAGTGACTGTTATTGGATCTTTACCTTGTTCACCCATGAAGAGCATTGTCACTTGCAGATTTCACCTGCTTTAACAGTGTGTGTGGGTGGGAGGATCGGGGGAGTAAAGTGCAAGTGTGAGCAATATATTTCAGTGTTTGCAGCTATTTTTCAGGCATCTTGTTCAATTGTTTAATTGGATGTTATTTTAGACACACACATACAGCAGCAAATATTTGTAAAGTTATGGAATACACATCCTATATGTTCAGGGCTGGCTAATAGAACGCATGTAAAGGTTCTTACTCAAATCAATCAGCCATGGTGCTGGATGGCATGGAACTGATTACAATTACTGTAGTCGTTGGCCTATTTTTTGTAATGCTCAAGCAGTTTGGTGTCTGGGAGCCCTTGTCATTAGATGGTAAGTAACAGGGACAGACTCCTCAGTCCCTTTTCTGATCAAGGCCATCATATTCCTCACAGATAGACAGAAGCTTCTTGTACTGTGTTGTTGATAGTTGAAGCTACTTGATTTCACTGTTGTCACCTTATGAGAGACAGCTGGCTTCCACTGCATATTAAGACAAAATGCCTCAAGACACAAAGGTCTCATGTCTTATTACTGGTGGATAGAAATATAAAATATTTTAACCTCCCAAAAATACTGTGACCACCTGCTTAACCTGATTGTATGTGTTTCCCCCTTTCTCACCTCCTCACTTCCCTATACTTCAATCTCTTCCTCACCCCATTCCTCTCTCTGATGTTTGTATTTCATAGATGGTGAGCACACACACAGTAGTAACTCCATGTATTCTTCATTTCCTTTTGTCTCGACTATGCTTTAATCTGTGCCCCACTCTCTCATTATATACATGTATATACAATTTGTTTTGTCTCTCTCTGAGTGTTGCTTTCTTGTCTTCCATTCATCATCCTCTCTTACTTTATTATCCACCTGTTCACCATCTTTTTCCCTTGAAAAATTGTATTGTACACCATTGTCCTCCAATCCAATTTCTGTGTTACCCACCACACAAATTTCTCTCCCTCCAATTTCTTCCGATTATCCCCACATCTTCTTCTCCCGATTTCAACCTTTCTCATCCCCTCCTGTGCTATTTTTGCCTCTCCCTGAATCCGCATTCTCCTCTCCTTTTCACCTCTCCCCTTCTCCCAACTCCTTCCTTTCCCTGAGTTGTCCTCCTCTCCCTCTCTCCCTCTCCTCTCTCAAACAGAGAGTAGTGAATGTGAATTGGAGCTTTCTACTGTTCGTCACCAGCCCGAAGGCTTAGAACAGCTCCAGGCCCAGACCCAGTTTACCAGGAAGGAGCTGCAGTCGCTCTACAGAGACTTCAAAAACGTGTGACTGGGACTTGGCTGGGCTTAGAGCACCGAGTGGGAGTGGGGTGGAGGTTAAATAAACACTGTCAGGGACTTGAAGGACTGCAAAGATATCGTCTCACAAAATGTTTTACATACTTACATAGCTACATACATTTACACAGATATTTACACATACTGCAAGCCGTTAGACATACAGGTAACTGCCAAAATAATGGAAACACTTGAGTAAATGAGGGATACAAAGTATATTGAAAGCAGGTGCTTCCACACAGGTGTGGTTCCTGAGTTAATTGAGCAGTTAACATCCCATCATGCTTAGGGTCATGTATAAAAATGCTGGGCAAACCATTATTTTGGCCATTATTTTGGCTACCATGGCTATGCCCCCATAGTATGACAATGCCCCCATCCATAGTGCACGAGTGGTTACTGAATGGTTTGATGAGCATAAAAATCATGTAAACCATATGCCATGGCCGTCTCAGTCACCAGATTTCAACCCTATTGAACACTTATTGGAGATTCTGGAGCGGTGCCTGAGACAGCGTTTTCCACCACCATCAACAAAACACCAAATGATGGAATTTCTCACAGAAGAATGGTGTCACATCCCTGCAATAGAGTTCCAGACACTAATAAGAATATATGCCAAGGTGCATTGAAGCTGTTCTGGCTCACGGTGGACCAACGCCCTATTAAGACACTTTATGTTGGTGTTTCCTTTATTTTGGCAGTTACCTACTTATTAGGCGTTTACAAGCTGTTAGACACATCTATTTTCACAGATATTTAACTAAATTTAAACATGCATACAGTACATACAAGTTAAGTAAGACAAACTTATTAAAGATATTTTCACTTCTCTCTGAACAGGAGTGTCCTAGCGGGCTGGTGGATGAGGAGACGTTCAAGACCATCTACTCACAGTTCTTCCCCCAGGGAGGTAGGAGTCTCCCCTCAAGAGATGCAAGGGAGGCACCATGGAATAGTACAGCAGATGGGTGGAAGACGCCCTTTCAACTGCCCCTACTGTTGTCAGCTATTTCAACCTGGACTCAGAGGTAGACGTAACATAGTAAATGTAAATCTGTGACACTCAAATTAGTATGATATGTTTTGTATGGTATTTATTTGTGGATGTCCATCATCCATTTCGTATGATATGTTACGAATTACAATTCGTATGATATGTTATGAATTGCAATTTGTGCAATATGTTACAAATTTGCAATACGTATGGTCAAATCAAATCAAATCAAATTTTATTGGCCACATGCGCCGAATACAACAGGTGCAGACATTACAGTGAAATGCTTACTTACAGCCCTTAACCAACAGTGCATTTATTTTTAACAAAAAAGTAAAAATAAAACAACAACAAAAAAAGTGTTGAGAAAAAAGGAGCAGAAGTAAAATAAAATAAAATAAAATAACAGTAGGGAGGCCGGGGGGTACCGGTGCAGAGTCAATGTGCGGGGGCACCGGCTAGTTGAGGTAGTTGAAGTAATATGTACATGTGGGTAGAGTTAAAGTGACTATGCATAAATAATTAACAGAGTAGCAGCAGCGTAAAAGGATGGGGTGGGGGGGGGGCAGTGCAAATAGTCCAGGTAGCCATGATTAGCTGTTCAGGAGTCTTATGGCTTGGGGGTAGATGTTGTTGAGAAGTGTTTTGGACCTAGACTTGGCACTCCGGTACCGCTTGCCGTGCGGTAGCAGAGAGAACAGTCTATGACTAGGGTGGCTGGAGTCTTTGACAATTTTGAGGGCCTTCCTCTCACACCGCCTGGTATAGAGGTCCTGGATGGCAGGAAGCTTGGCCCCAGTGATGTACTGGGCCGTACACACTACCCTCTGTAGTGCCTTGCGGTCGGAGGCCAAGCAGTTGCCATACCAGGCGGTGATGCAACCAGTCAGGATGCTCTCGATGGTGCAGCTATAGAATTTTTTGAGGATCTGAGGACCCATGCCAAATCTTTTCAGTCTCCTGAGGGGGAATAGGCTTTGTCGTGCCCTCTTCACGACTGTCTTGGTGTGTTTGGACCATGATAGTTCGTTGGTGATGTGGACACCAAGGAACTTGAAGCTCTCAACCTGTTCCACTACAGCCCCGTCGATGAGAATGGGGGCGTGCTCAGTCCTCTTTTTTTTCCTGTAGTCCACAATCATCTCCTTTGTCCTGGTCACGTTGAGGGAGAGGTTGTTGTCCTGGCACCACACGGCCAGGTCTCTGACCTCCTCCCTATAGGCTGTCTCATCGTTGTCGGTGATCAGGCCTACCACTGTTGTGTCATCGGCAAACTTAATGATGGTGTTGGAGTCGTGCCTGGCCATGCAGTCATGGGTGAACAGGGAGTACAGGAGGGGACTGAGCACGCACCCCTGAGGGGCCCCCGTGTTGAGGATCAGTGTGGCAGATGTGTTGTTACCTACCCTTACCACCTGGGGGCGGCCCGTCAGGAAGTCCAGGATCCAGTTGCAGAGGGAGGTGTTTAGTCCCAGGATCCTTAGCTTAGTGATGAGCTTTGAGGGCACTATGGTGTTGAATGCTGAGCTGTAGTCAATGAATAGCATTCTCACGTAGGTGTTCCTCTTGTCCAGGTGGGAAAGGGCAGTGTGGAGTGCAATAGAGATTGCATCATCTTTGGATCTGTTGGGGCGGTATGCAAATTGGAGTGGGTCTAGGGTTTCTGGGATAATGCTGTTGATGTGAGCCATGACCAGCCTTTCAAAGCACTTCATGGCTACAGACGTCAGTGCTACGGGTCGGTAGTCATTTAGGCAGGTTATCTTAGAGTCCTTGGGCACGGGGACTATGGTGGTCTGCTTGAAACATGTTGGTATTACAGACTCAGTCAGGGACATGTTGAAAATGTCAGTGAAGACACTTGCCAGTTGGTCAGCACATGCTCGGAGTACACATCCTGGTTGCTAGACGTTTGCGTTATATGCCCACCCGTCCTCCCCGACCAACCTAATTTTTGGCTTAAGTAACCATACCCAACGTATCATATCATACTAATTTGAGTATCACAGATTTACAGTTATTATATTATGTCTCTGAGGCCAGGCTGGCTATTTCAATGGGCTGTTATTTGATAGAGAGCATTGTATTACTGATTTGGAGTAAACATTTTATCAAAAGATGCAAGATTCTGACAACTCAGAACCTCATCGATTGATATATAGATGCTATAAAGACTGACCCATTTCACCCTGAGCAAAGTGGATGAAAGTGGAAAGAGAATAAATAACCAACTGTCACCCACTGTATGCCTGCCTAATGTTAACTATATCATTGTAATCACTTCTCAGATGCCACCACATATGCACATTTCCTGTTCAACGCTTTTGACATGGACAGAAATGGCACTATCCATTTTGAGGTAAGCAAAGCTCCTTTAAAGTAAGGTAATTTCCTCTCTAGCAATAAAACCTTCCTGAACAATCAATTAGCCATCCCAATAACCTGCTCAATCCCCCCCCACCCCACCAGGACTTTGTGATTGGACTATCTGTACTGCTCAGAGGTTCGGAAACAGAGAAACTCCGGTGGGCCTTCAATCTGTATGATATCAACAAGGATGGCTGCATTACCAAGGAGGTACAGTGTAAGGCTGTGCCTTGCATAGAGAGAGTTCTACTGCTAGACAGACAGACATAGCACTGACTCATGACTGTGCGTGTGCGTCCGTGTGTGTGTTTTTGTGTGCGTGTGTGTGTCTTTGTGTGTGTGTGTATGTGTGTGTTGTGTGCACCTGTGTACAGGAGATGTTGGCCATAATGACGTCCATCTATGACATGATGGGCAGGTATACCTATCCCAGTGTACGAGATGATGACCCATCTGAGCATGTGGACAAGTTCTTTCAGGTACATTAACCCCCAAGCGTATAACCCCCTCCCATCCCACCCCCATGTCTGACATTTGACATGTTGTTTAAAACCTTCTGTCCTTCTGTTTGTATTGTTTCTGTCCTAAGGCTTTATTGTTTGGTTATTGTTTGATGAGAACTCTCGTCTGTTTTAATTTTCCCAACCTTAAAGCTTCACATTGTGTCACTGTGGAGGTTAGTAGTACTGTATGTAATCATACAAGATCTTTAATGGCCATCTTTAACAGAAAATGGATCGGAACAGAGACGGGGTTGTGACCATTGATGAGTTCATAGAGACCTGTCAGAAGGTAAACACATCCTCCACAAGCTTTACTGGTGAAAAGATGCCCAGACAAGCCACTGGCTATTACATGGTTTTAACTTGTCTGGCTAACATCCCAGGTATTCCTGTAGTTGGTAGACAGCAAGTTCTGTCAGGTTTGTCTTACAGAACCAGCACAACATGTCAGAGGAGCATAAAACATATGAACAGCTAAGAACAGTACTGCCATAAGTAGTGTTCAATTGACATTGTGTCCAAAACAACAGATTCCTTAACTCTTAATTTCTCTCACCAGGATGAAGATATCATGGCCTCCATGCAGCTCTTTGAGAACGTCATCTAGATCTAGGAACGGACAGAGAACATGGATACATATATAAATCCTGATGACCTTTTATTGAGTCCAATAACAGACCCTACAAGCCCCTCCCCTCTTTAACAATAACAGACCCTACAAGCCCCTCCCCTCTTTAACAATAACAGACCCTACAAGCCCCTCCCCTCTTTAACAATAACAGACCCTACAAGCCCCTCCCCTCTTTAACAATAACAGACCCTACAAGCCCCTCCCCTCTTTAACAATAACAGACCCTACAAGCCCCTCCGCTCTTTAACAATAACAGACCCTACAAGCCCCTCCCCTCTTTAACAATAACAGACCCTACAAGCCCCTCCGCTCTTTAACCCCTCACCGTTTGATAATTGAAGATGATTTGCACACATCAAAATGAGGACAGTAAACATTTAGCAGGGGGCATAGGGGAAATGTGACTCTAAACATTTAACTCCATTATGTATGGTCCTGCTGACAGTTCTACTTTCCTTACCAGGGAATGGCAACATAAGAAGTGAAATGTTAGAACACTGTACAGTAGTATGTCTACTGCTTATGCCTGAACAGATTATGATACTTTGCATGTTTGCCTGGGAGTAGTGTAAGTTAATGTTAACACAGTTGAATGTAAGTATGAATTTTGTTATTGAGTAGCCTGAAACAGTTCAAATATTATTGTATTTGTTTGTGTGTGTGTTGGGGGGGTTATAAGTTGATATTCACACAATCACAGGAGGCCGGTGGCACCTTAATTGGGGAGGACGGGCTCATAGTAATGGCTGGAACGGAATAAATTGAATTTTATCTAACACATCAAACTCATGGTTTCCATGTGTTGTGTTACCATTCCATTCACTCCATTCCAGCCATTATTATGAGCCATCCTCCCCTCAGCAGCCTCCTGTGCACACAATAGCTTAGAAATGTAAAAGCTTTTAAAATGTCTGTACCCTCGGGTATAGCTCATCAGCATTGTGATTGGAAGGTGGGATTTATTGATCTTGCCATATCATATACCTACTCGCACCATACATACAGTACAAAACAATCACACTAAGGTACTTAAGTGTTACCCAGAAATGATTTGATATTGAGATCAAAATGGCTGCATTGGACTTTTAAGTTACATACACCATGACCAACATTGACATGTGCATAATGTTTTAGCCAGACTGGTCTGACAGCATTCCTGCCAGATACAACCAGAGGGACATCCCACTGGGCAAAAACTGGTTGAATCAACGTTTTGTCGTTATGAACATGAATATTTGAAATACATTTTCTGAATCAGTCATCTAAAGTAATGATTTGGTTCTGAGGATAGTAAGAGTACAGTTAAGATGGGTCGGAACTCAGACACTGAGGCTACCTCTGTATTGGAGTGTTGTGAAGCAAGTATTTTTTTGCACCGTATTTGTGGAACAATCTTGAACATTTTCTTAAATTGGATGCCTTGAGGGCAATACAGAAACCTGACTGAGGACCTTATTACTGATGAATGTGTTTATTTTTATGACTGTGTTTTGTTTCTACTTGCATTTTGTAATTGTATTTGATGTGTGCCTTTCTGTAATTTCTGTAATTCAGGGCTTATCTGTTCTGATAAAATAAAGGATGAATAAAAAACACTCAATCATGCATGATACAGCATCACTAGTACAATGGAGAATAGAATCATAGTGTTTAATGGATCAACCAAACTGTACATGCTCTTGTGTTTATTTGTTAATTGTAAAAAGTAAAGATGTGAGTAACAGATACACTACATGACCAAATGTATGTGGACACCTGCTCATCGAACATCTCATTCCAAAATAATGGTCATTAATATGGAGTTGGTCCCCCCTTTGCTGCTATAACAGCCTCCACTCTTCTGGGAAGGCTTTCCACTAGATGTTGGAACATTGCTGCGGGGACTTGCTTCCATTCAGCCACAAGAGCATTAGTGAGGTCGGGCACTGATGTTGGGCGATTAGGCCTGCCTCGCAGTCGGCGTTCCAAATCATCCCAAAGGTGTTCGATGGGGTTGAGGTCAGGGCTCTGTGCAGGCCAGCCAAGTTCTTCCACACCGATCTCGACAAACCCTTTTGGATGAACCTCACTTTGTGCACGGGGCCGTTGTCATGCTGAAACAGGAAAGGGCCTTCCCCAAACTGTTGCCACAAAGTTCGAAGCACAGAATCGTCTAGAATCGTCTAGAATGTTAAGATTTCCCTTCACTGGAACTAAGGGGCCTAGCCCGAACCATGAAAAACAGCCCCTGACCATTATTCCTCCTCCACCAAACTTTACAGTTGGCACTATGCATTGGGAAAGGTAGCGTTCTCCTGGCATCCGCCAAACCCAGATTCGTCTGTCTGACTGCCAGATGGTGAAGTGTGATTCAACACTCAAGAGAACGCATTTCCACTGCTCCAGAGTCCAATGGCGGCGAGCTTTACACCCCTCCAGCCGACGGTTGGCATTGCACATTGTGATCTTAGGCTTGTGTGCGGCTGCTCGGCCATGGATCCCCATTTCACGAAGCTCCCAACGAACAGTTATTGTGCTGATGTTGCTTCCAGGCAGTTTGGAACTCGGTAGTGAGTGTTGCAACCGAGGACAGACAATTTTTACACGCTACGCGCTTCAGCACTCGGTGGTCCCATTCTGTGAGCTTGTGTGGCCTACCACTTCGCAGCTGAGCCATTGTTGCTCCTAGACGTTTCCACTTCATAATAACAGCACTTACAGTTGACCGGGGCAGCTCTAGCAGGGCAGAAATTTGAAGAACTGACTTGTTGGAAAGGTGGCATCCTATGACGGTGCCACGTTGAAAGTGGCTGAAATAGCCGAATCCACTAATTTGAAGGGGTGTCCACATACTTTTGTATTTATAGTGTATTATAATCAATCTAGTATCCTTGCATGATCAGTCTTGTTCTAAAATGTGAAGAAGGAGCTGCATCCACTTAATAGCCAACAAGGTGTTCTCAGACTGAAGTATGTAGCGAACGATAGAGATGCGGAAGAATTCAGTTTTAGTCGTCAGGCAAGTTGACAGAGGAGGTCTCATGGAAGGTGAGAAGTCAGACTATTTTAACTTGCTATTATTTGGTTATTATACAATCTTAGTTTGTTGTTACTCACAATCATGATGGATGGAAATACATATTTTTCAAACAAAACAACAAAATTAGAGTTAGCCTAATCCATGCACCACTGGGGTTAGGAACATGCTGTTTGCTTATTTCCTATTCATTCTGGGGGGGGTTTTATTATGAAAATAAAATAACTCCACGCCCATAGGTAAGAGAACACAGCCAAAAGCACGGCAAGGTGCAGAGAAGTAGATTGTCACAAAGAATCAGTTCTTTGAAGATGGACAGATTCTATCAAGAGAAAGGGAAACATGGGCCAATGGAGTGGAGTTCATCCTGGCATCAGTGGGATATGTCGTTGGACTTGGAAATGCCTGGCTTCAAAAGTGGTGGAGGTAAGCATAAGCCTGGGGGTAGGGGCCAGGTTGGCTGCTCGGGGTGAGGCCAGGTTGGCTGCTCGGGGTGAGGCCGGGTTGGCTGTTCGGGGTGAGGCCTGGTTGACGGTACTCAATGTACTTTTTTTATCACTTTGGCAAATTTTTCAGGCGTAAGTGGTATATTTTAAAAACTCAAAGTACAAAATTCTAAACTGAAAACACGTGTAATGCCCCCTATCCTATGTTCAGAACCTTTGATTGTGCATTCATTGGGGTTAACAAATCTTTCACTCCTGAGTCATTCATGCAAAATCTAAGTTTTAGGTGAAATAACATGATAACATTTAGTTTAGTTAGCAATACATCAGATAATGACAGGCTCACCATTTAGTCATTTTAACTACCATTTAGTCCAAAAGCAAAAAATGCAAGGTACACATTTCAAAACTGTTCTTTTTGATGTGCTGAATAGAAAGAATAGGAGATGGTAAATATAATTCTCCATACAATATTTGACTATAACTTGACATGCACCATTTTGAAAGAAAATTGTATCCAATGGCATGTTGTGAGCATGTTGAGAAATATGTCAGTCTTATAGTTTCATTTTCCTTGTACAGTACATATGTAGGACAAATCATCAGAAATATGGGTATTGTAAAGCAGTTGGCTACTGTAAAATGCACCCTTTCTACGTGACTTGTCAACTGATACAGTATCGCCTATCTCTCTGCTTGAAATTTATCAGCTTACAGTGAATCAATGAAATTCAGATTATATATAACCCAAGTATTTCTGCAGTGCATTGTACACTACACTATAATTCCAAATGGTAGCACATAAATTGATGTCAAATTGATAGATTTGAGGTAAAAATATACACATTTACAGTGTTCAGCTGTTATCAAACTACAGTTTTTTTATCGCTTTGGTACTCTTTTCACAACTATGTTGTGAATTTTCAAAACTCTTACTGGTAACACTTGTTACACAGCCAGTCTTACATTCAAAACCTTTCACTGTGCATTCATTTTATTTGTAGACATCTTTCACCACAGAACCAAAATATAAGTTTACCTTGAAAAATAATGTGTACATTGGTTTAATCACCAAAACACGACATAATGATATCTTCTCAATTTAGTTAGTTTAACAGCCAATTAATCCAATCAATCAATCAGATTTATTTATAAAGCCCATTAAGGCTAGATCGTTCTTCAAGATGTTCAAATGTTCATAGATGATCAGCAAGGTCAAGTAAAAATCACAGTGGATGTAGAGTGTGCAACAAGTCAGAACCACAGGAGTAAATGTCAGTTGGCTTTTTATAGCAGAGCATTCAGAGGTCTCAGAGCATTTCGTATTATTCTGTTTGTAAATCCGAGACACTCCATTTAGTATGATATTTTACGTTTCATATGGTATGTATTAATTTGTGATGTCCATCACCCATTTAGTATTATATGTTACGAATTACAATTTGTATTATTTGTTACGAATTTGCAAAACATACCATATGTTACAAATTTGGAAATGTCCTTCACAGTTTTATTTGAGACGACTGTACAACCATAAAGATTAATTGTCAGATCAAATAGCAGATCTATTTTTTTCTTGGGACCTAGAACTAGCATCTCTGTTTTGTCCGAGTTTAAAAGTAAAACATTTGCCGCCATCCATTTCCTTATGTCTGAAACACAGGCTTCCAGGGTAGGCAATTTTGGGGCTTCACCATGTTTCATCGAAATGTACAGCTGTGTGTCGTCCGCATAGCAGTGAACATTGACATTGTGTTTCCTTATGACATCACCAAGAGGTAGAATATATAGTGAAAACAATAGTGGTCCTAAAACTGAACCTTGAGGAACAACGAAACTTACCATTGATTTGTCAGAGGACAAACCATCCACAGAGACGAAATGATATCTTTCCGACAGATAAGATCTAAACCAGGCATGAATTTGTCCGTGTAGACCAATTAGGGTTTCCAATCTCTCCAAAAGAATGTGGTGATCAATGGTGTCAAAAGCGAAGATTGCTACGGCGCATGACCATCTGGGTAGGGGCTGAGTGGCTAGGGTTGGAGGAAAAGGAGACAGAAAAGGAAACAAAGTAGAGATCAGAGACATGGAGGGGGTTTGCAGTGAGATTAGTAGGCTAACAGCCTCTAGTGAAGATGAGGTCAAGCGTATTGCCTACCTTGTGATTGGGAAAGGGGGAGATCAAAA